GTTCACAATACAACCTTTCTGCTATAAAGGAGGAAAGGGGCAGGTACCACACATAGTTGAGACCAGATTTACTTCCCAGCTGGGACTGCAGAGCTGGTGTCAGACAGGGTAGTCATGGGGCCCTAGATGTCTTCAACTTTGGACATGTCATTAAACTCACCTTCCGACCTGGCCCCAGATTGGCTGGTGGTAGTACTGAGGTCTTGGGGGACACAAAAAGCAATCGAGGGTTAACAAATACAGGAGGAATGGAGTAGAGAGGGTATTGATCCCTGGTCTCTGGATATTTCAGGAAGGGACATGTCACAGTTTCAAAGTGAAATGTCCCTGACAGGTTCCTACGTTGAACATTTTGCACCCCAGCTGACATTGCTGTTTGAAGAGGTTATAGGACCTTTAGATGGGGACTCAGCTGGGAAGGTGGTGGGCCTTGAAGTTTTATAGCATGAACCTGCTTCCCGTCTCAATGCTGACTTAATGGAACCAGCTGACACCCAGTGCTAGCACCATACAGCTTTTCAGGACCATGCCTTTTCTATGAGGATGGGCTGCATCCCCTCAATCAATGGGAGCAGAATTATCCTTTAATCCTTCCTGATGCGTCTTGCTGGGTGTCTGCTCACAGCATTGAGGCATGATGGAAGCACTGGCAGGATGTGTCGCCATTATCTCAGAAACGAAATGGGCGTGGTTTACAGCAAAAGCAGCTTGCTAAAGGCCACCAGTGGCTTGCTGGTTTTTTGGTCTTCCTCCCTCCAGAGGCAATCCTTCAGTTTCTTGCTCTCTGGGCTTTTTGTTTAGGGGGCACAGGAGACAGACTCAACACATTTCCCGTGCTAAGTGCTCTACAACCCAGGACACCCCCAAGCCTTCCATGGTAGTTTTAAAGTCACCCCTGGCTTTCAATAGACATAAACCCTGAGCCAATCCAACAGAGATTTAAATGTGGAAAGTAGCAGAAAAAACAATCCACTGGCATTTGGTTTATTATTGCATTTTGGCTTTGAGTTCCAGTAGTTTCTCTTCTTATTGGACTCTTTATACTTCAAGTTTTTAAAAAAACATTCCAGTTATCACAAATGCTATTCATGTCTTTGAGGATATCAACTCCTTCTTGAGACACTATGCTTATTCATTGAACATTTAGAACTCAGAGACAATCTCTGTGGGGATTCACGCCATCATTTAGGCACAAACCCTTAGAAATTCCTGTTTTTTTGGGGGGGTTGGTTTGTTTTTCTTTCATGGCAACAGCAGCTCATCTGGGGAATTCTACAACAATATGGTATTCTTAGTAATATTAGACAATAGGCACAGATGAAGAAAAGTGTGCTACTTTGTAAGAGGTCATGACTGAGAACACTCAGTAGCCATCAAGCAACCTCAGTATCTCCCGGTGCTGATGTGTCCGTCTCCCCCCCTTCCCCCCTCCCTCGCCCCCCAGCTATTTATCTACAGTGCAAAAATGATGGTCTTTTGATGAGCTGTCACAGAGGAAAAATCAAAGCACAAAGGTGACATTTAATGTCTTCCCATGAGAAAGGAAATGGGCATGACTTTCAATTTCTTACATTGGATCAGTTGTAATCCAATGCTACTGAGTGGAACAACAAACAGCTTAATGTGTTCCATGAATCTGTTCAAGCTTGTAAAACCGGCCACTTTGTTCTCGTCTCCAACTCGATCACATTTGTCCCTCTGAACCTGTGCACACATACCTTCAACAGAAGACTGAGCTGTGGGTGACATGGTCAGGACAGTGAAGACGTTAATCTGTTGCTCTGAGATAGGAGATAGCGGAATGGAGGGCAGACAAGGGTAAGGAGGAAAAATGACTAAATTGATGAATAAAAGACCAGTGAAAATGGGGAAAGCCCTGGTCAGGGTGGGAGGGTTAAGTAGGAACTACCAGGAGGAAAGAGAGCGCTTTTTTTGAACCAGGGTCTATCTATATAGCCTGGCTATGTACATGGCTATATAGATATAGCATATATAGATATAGCATGGCAGTCCTGGAACTTATGTAGACATGCTGGCCCTAGACTCAGAGATCTGACAGCCTCTGCCTCCCAGGTACTGGGATTAAAGGCTTGTGCTACCATGCCTCACCCAAGGTTGCATACCTCACTCTTTCATTGAATTTCAAATTCTGCCCTAAACGAGCTCTGAACTTCAGATACCCACTTTGTAAAGTGATGGTTCTGTTTAAGACTTAAGATATCCACCATGGAATTTAAACAACGCAGAAGCCCCCAAATTAAAACAAAACAAAGACCATAAGTTGCAAAACACTGCCATGCCCCTAATAATGGGAAGGGTGAAGAACACAGGGACAATGAGGTTTTTGTCTTCTCTGACTGCGTCAGGCTTGACAACACCTTGTCTTCTGAAAGTCTTCAGCCTCATCTGCTTCCAAAACAGTAGGGCGATGAAGCTGACATTGAACTTGGATCTACATTGTGTGTGGGGGGTGTTTCCTGTTAGCCTTGACACTTAGTGTTTAATTACAGGAGCACTGTTTGTTTTTAACATCCTAACCCTAAATTCAGTGTATTCAGAAAAGCAAGCAAAGTGTCTTTTGTCAGAGAAAAAAAAAGCAAACCGAAAACCCTTGGTTATTGAAGCTGGCATGTATGGCCACAACACAACTTTTCTTGATACTTTTACATTTTAGATATATTCAGGGTAAAGTTCTTTGTTAACTTAAATAGGACTGGGCATGTTGTAGTCGCCTTCGACTGTGTGGGACTCAAGGAGAAAATAATTAGCTTAGTTCTGTACTTAGTGGCTTGTTTAAGTTTTACTTCAGGGTGCTTACTGTGTCAAAACCTTTGTTCCTGGCCTCTACACAGGACTTATCCTCCCTGCCCCCCATATCCCACCCCATTGTACTTCCCCACATTAGCTTCACGTGGAATGCACTATCTGGTCCCCAGTAGACTGGTTAATCATGGTAAATGGCCACATTACAACTCTCTCAAGGTTAGACACTGTGTCCTGCCATCCCCTCCTGCTATTGCTGTAGCGGAGAAAAGGCCCCTGCCACACCCTCTACCCAGAGTGCTCACACAATTTACCCAAGGTCAGGATTTCCCTGCTAAGTGGTTGATCTGCGTACCAGGTGTTCTAGAAAGATGGAATTAAGATGACTTCACCACCGGGCGTTGGTGGTACACGCCTTTAATCCCAGCCCTCGGGAGGCAGAGGCAGGTAGATCTCGTGAGTTGGAGACCAGCCTGGTTTGCAAGAACTAGTTCCAGGACAGCCTCCAAAGCCACAGAGAAACCCTGTCTTGAAAAAACAAAACAAACAAACAAAAGACTTCACCAATGACTGTCTGACTTGGGGCTATATTACCTAACTGTGCTCTGCAGCTGCCAATTCACAGCCAGTCAGCTGAACAGCATCATTTTCCCTTCGGTGTACTCTGTAATACAAATTACTCTAGTTCAATATATGAATGGAAGTGCTGGGAATAAAACGTGTCGTCCCCCCTCACCACCACCACATTTTGACCTCAGGATACTGATTTAAAAATCTGTGGAACAGCCGGGCGGTGGTGGCGCATGCCTTTAATCCCAGCACTCGGGAGGCAGAGGCGGGAGGATCTCTGTGAGTTGGAGGCCAGCCTAGTCTTCAAAGAGAGTTCCAGGACAGTCTCCAAACCTACAGAGAAACCCTGTCTCAAAAAAAAAAACAAACAAATAAAAAAATCTGTGAAACATGCATTTTAGTGCTAACATTTTCACCTGGATGCTAACATTGGTGGATTCTCCCCAAAGCAAGGAGAGATGGTGGAGGCAGGAGATGCAAAGCTGTGATCCGTTTCCCCATCATATTCCAACAATGCACCCACCAGTGGCAGGATGGGAGCAGAGGCTGAAATGGGCTGCGAAAATACATTCCTCACTATTTGCACGGCTTTTGACAGTGTTAGAAGAGGGTGCAGTGACCCGTGAAGAGATCACGTCCTGTAAGGCTGACAGCAGCCGGCAGGAGTTACTTAACATGAAGGTTAAGGGCACCTTCCTGCAGAGGACCCCATACTCAGGTATGCCTTAGTATTGTTCAGTCTCCCCAAGACAATGGCCAGGTAAGAAGGCACCATACCCACGCTTGGTGGCTGGTCCCCGATGGACAGTTCCTATACAGCTGTTATCAAAACACTATACTGAACTTAGCAAATGGCTTTCCTGGCCTTAGCACCCAAGGAAAATTGCCCGCTTGACTGGCATTGACCTGTGCTACCAAGCAGGGGGCAACCAGGGTTTAGCATCCTTATGCGTAAGGCATTCCCAACATCATTCTGTTCTGTATATACTCACTGTTGATGCAGCAGCCCCTTGGGAAACTGACAAAGTTAAGTTGGAGGATATAGGTAGACAAATCTGGACACACACGGGACTGTGAGTTGCTATCATGTAGAATTCTAGATAGGGTGTGGGAGGCTAGGATATGCCACTCAGGGATTGTCAGTGACACAGAAGTAGAGATGGGGCACCAGGATAGGTACATGGGACCTGTGGGTTACGAGGTCACGGGTAGTCAGCTTACAGGTTGAATCCTATCAGTTCCAAGACTTAGTTGGTGAATGACACTTGAAAACGCTGGCTTTAAAACATTTCAAAACATTCTGATAATTGATCCTGGCTTCATTAGATCTTATTTCACACTGGTGTTCAACAGGTAACCTTTTTTTCTTTTCTTTTTTTTTTTTCCTGAGGCAGGGTTTCTCTGTGGCTTTGGAGGCTGTCCCAGAACTCTCCACCACTGCCTAGCTACTTGTTTCTTTTTCATTGCCAGAAAGTAAACCCAGGTCCCTGAGCATGTTAACCAAGCACTCTACGAGTGAGCTACATGCCCAGACCTCAATTTTCTTTTCTTTTCTTTTTTTTTTTAAGGATTAGAAATGTTAAGTTTGTTCTGACTTGGGGAGGAGGAAGAACCAGGTGAAGAGCTCTGTTGCCTCTCCTGGCACAGAGCCACAACCACAAGCCAAATTTGATTAGAGAAACATGTTATTAAATTTAATTTTCTTTAAATACATAACCTTTTTCCCACTCTCAGCCACCTGGCTAAGGATGGGGAGACTCCACCCCCTCCACCCTTGGGGGCTGCATATGTAAAGCCTGAGATGGTGACGATGAAGTATAAAAATACTATTTACAGAGGGGAAGCAGGCACCTGCCCTACTGTAACCTCCAGACACCCCCATCCCAGGGTCCTTTTCGTTTAAAAAGCCCCTAGAAATGTTATGAGGATAGAAAAAGTCCCTTCCTATAGAGCGGGGTCTCTTCAAAACCAACAAGGAATTGGAAGCTCTGAGATTAACCAGGGCCAGGGAGAGAATGGATAGCACCTAAGAATCTAACAGGGGATGGTTGGTCCCATCACCCTGCAGTCAGCCAGGGCAGGCCTGGCCTTTGTTTCCTACATCCCATGTAAACATTGACTTTGACTTTTCCCTTTTCTAGGTCCCTGCCCTCCTTTATTTCATGCTGAGTCTTTCACCTTGGCTCTTTTTTTTTTTTTTTTTGACCTTTCCTTCCTTCCCTTTAAATCATCCCAAGGCGCGCTGACAGGAGTGAGGGAGGGATGTGGGTGGGGCACAGCCACCTCATCCTTTCAAGGCCAGAGAAGTGCCCATGTTCACAGTCACAGGGTTGATTCCTTCCTAGGGCAAGCATGAGGCAGGTGGATGATGTGGTACCAGGATGGAGTAGTCTGGCTAGGTGAGGCCATTGGAACCGAGTAACAGGGAAAGAAGCTCTGGGAGGCAGAGCCCAGGCAATCGTGGTCCTGGTCCGGCACTGCTGGTGAAAGCCCAGTTAACACCCAAAAGTCTTGTTCATTGCGTAGAGGAACCCCGGTCTTCCCCAGTGTCCACATACACGGAGCGCTCACACCAGTTCATCCAGCAGGATCCCAATGCTCTGCGAGGTCTCTGTGGGGCCAGCGATAGGCTTGTTGCACATGGGGCAGACACAGCGTACTTCTAGCCACTTCACCAGACACCTGTGAACAAGAGCACCGTTATCTCGGAGGAGACATTCCAGATGGCTCCAGCTGTCTCTGAGTCCAGCTGCTTCTGACAACAAAGTGCCCCTGTGCCTGCCCTTAGCTAACCCCCCGGGCGTGCCGAACCTAGGGCATCACTGTTGAACAGCATTGGTGGGGATTAGAAGGTCCTTAAAGACACTCCCTAATTAATTCTCCCCTACGGTAGCCCCTCCCCCATCACACCCCCTCATACTTGCGGTGAAACGCATGCTGGCATGGAAGCACGCCTAGCTCATCTTTCCCCTTGAAGTCTTCCAGACAAACGGCACAGGTCTGCTATGGAGGGAGAGGGAGAGAGAGAGAGAGGGAGGAAGAGGAAGGAGGGGAGAGAGAGAGAATCTGTGAGCTAGAGGCTGTCTTCATTCATCCATCCCGAGTATCCACCATCTAATTTTCAGACAAGGAAACCAAACTCCAGCCCAGTCTCCTGCGTCAGCCATATTTATAAGACTGCATCCAAAGGATAGCAGCCAATACGGCTGCTTAAACTGAAATCAACCAAATGAAGAAACTATAAGCAAAGCCCCTCAGAAGTACTAGCCACATTTTTTCAAATGTTTATTTCAATATAAAAATGTGGGATGTGGGTCAGTGGTAGTTTTGTACATCATCCGTGAGATCCTAAATTGGAATCTCCACACCACAATCGAAAACCATAAATGAAGAGTGTGTGGTGACTTTTGCTGTCAGTGATATGGTCCTTAGGAGAGGAGACATAGATCTCTCTGCCTATAATCCCGGTTTTATTTTAGGTTTTGTGGGGGGGGCAGACTCTCACATAGCCTGAGCTGGCCTCAGACTCACCGTATAAACAAAGCTGTCCCTTGAATTTCTTATCTTCCAGTCTCCACTTCCTTAGTGATGGGACTATACATAGATAGTACTCTTTTCAGTTCACTGCTTATAAGTGTGCCGATTCTTCTCCCACAATGCACACTGTTTCTTCATGCTACTACTATTGTTTGGTGCTCAGTAGCTCCCATCTTCTCACAATCATGAATCTAATAAGTCATAATGTGTTTGGATCCCTACAGTATTCTTTAGACAGGAGTGCAATTATTTAATGTCACTGATAACTTCTCAGGTAATCAAATTATGCATATTTTTGCCTCAGAAGAGAGTTGGGCTCATGGTGCCTACTTAGTGGGTGTAGGCTACTTTGATATGAGTTCTAAGCCTCTCTCACACCCTGGAGGTAGCTGTCCATATTTCCAATGCTCAACAGCTACCTATGGCTGATTGGAGAGTACAGACTCAGGACCTTCTTATGAACACGCAAGTTTTAAATTGACAGTGTTGGTCTCAAATAGTTTTGTCTTTTCTAGCCTATAGCATGGACCAAGGAGGTCCACAGTAATGAGTGAGACCATAGGACAGATGTAATGTCAGTCTTGGTTGTCAACTGGACTAAATCTGAAATTTACTAAAATCCAAATGGCTGGGCACACCTTCGAGATTTCTCTCTCTCTCTCTCTCTCTCTCTCTCTCTCTCTCTCTCTCTCTCTCTCTCTCTCTCTCTCTCTCTCTCTCCTCTTCCTTCACCTTCATTCCTTCCCTTCTTTTCTGAGAAAGGGTTTCTCTGTGTGGCCCTGGCTATCCTTGAACTCAGAGAGTTGCCGGTCTCTGAATGCTAGGATTAAAGGCATGTACCATCACCACCTGGGAGTGAGGGATTTTCTTAATTAAATCATCCGAAGTGGGAAAACCCACTTCTAATCTGGATCTTTGCGGTGAGAAGATCCACCTTTAATCCGGGCCACACCTTCTGCCAGGAGCCCATGGAGAAGACAATGAATGGAAGGGGTGTTCTCTCTGCTTGTTTTCCCTCTCCCTGGCAGGTCCATTCCTTCACTGGCATTAGATTGACTTTGGGATTCTAGTGTACAGCAAAGACCAGCTGAGACATCCAGCCTGTGGATTAGACCTTTTGGTAGACGCCCATTGTTGGACTAGCTGGACCACAGCCTGTAAGAAATTCTAATAAAGCCTTTATATATATTCATCCTGTAAATTCTGTTCCACTAGAGAACCTGATTAATACACATATATGCACCGTTACATTCTTTAAATCCAGACTTGTATCCCCATTTATGAAACTCCAAGATCTCAGCTGAACTATTCCAAAAGCCTTTAGCAAACACCTGAGCTTATTTTAAGAACCTGAGGTGTCGTAGCAACATGGAAAACAAGAGTAAAATGAGGCCACGTCTAAAGAGTCTCATGTTTGGTGATGCTGGAATCGTATTCATTTTCAGACAACCACAAAAGGCCAACTCGCTGGCTAGGGTGTCTGTGGTTATGGATAGAAGCCTTGGGAGATGAGTTAGGTAACCTCAAAGACTAAGGGGACTGATCTGGAAATGGTCCATTAAAAGAGGGGGTAGAAGAAAAAAAGGGAAGGGGGACCGATGAAATAAAAAGGTCAAAGTTGATAGACCCTATGGAATTGCCGTGTGTGTGTGTGTGTGTGTGTGTGTGTGTGTGTGTGTGTGTGTGTGTATGTGTGGCGGGCGTGGAGGGGGAGGGGGGATACAAGTTACTGATCTGTTAGGACAATGTAATAAACATGAATGAAAGGACCTTATTTTCTTTAGTCACAAACTGGAGCATAGGCACCAAATAAAGGGAAAGTTAGCATCACACCGCCTATGTCACAGAGTGTGTGACACTCTTATTGATTCTGCACACCACACTGCCTAAGGCATAGAGTTTATGATACCCTTAAGGATTCAACACTGCACCCTGCCTATAACATAGAGCCTGTGACCACACTTATAGATTCTACACAGCATACTACCTATGATAGAGCCTGTGACCACACTTAGATTCTACGCAGCACACTATCTATGATATAGAGCCTGTGGCCACACTTAGATTCTACGCAGCACACTATCTATGATATAGAGCCTGTGACCACACTCAGATTATGCACAGCACACTACCTATGGCATACAGCCTGTGACACTCTTACAGATTCTACCCAGCAAGCACACTGTCTATGGCAGTGATCCCTTTGTTTCCTGCCTTACTTGACTCTAGAGTAAATGTATTACCTGCCAGGATGAATTCCTTCTGTTTGGACACAGGTAATCTGAAGGCAGGGACTACAGAGTCTGGAAAAGGTCCAACCCATGAGCTGGAGAAGGATCCTCCCAAACATTAGTTATCCCCAGACACTTACCCCATAGAGCTGCAACTTCTTAGCATCGCCTTTAAGCACCACCTGAGGAGGAAAGAAGCAGCTGATGTCTGAAGGTACCAATATAGAAGCCAGAGAGGCTCATCCAATGATTCTGTCTCTCTCTGTCTCCATGAAAGTGGAGGGCAAACCCTACTAGGGAACAGTGGCAGGAGTGGTGAGCCTCCGGGATGTCCAGGGGGTTGGGGAATGTAGGCTATGGAAGCCTGGGTAGCTCTTCTTATCAGGGCAAGTGGGGAAGAAGTGTAGTGCTACTTTACCTCCTTGTAGCCATATCGCTCGCTCTGTGCCTGGTTCCGGAGTTTACTAGATGGAGAAAGAAAGAGAAGAGGGCAGATTACCATGTTTTGTTTTGTTTTATTTTGTTTTGTTTTAAGACACATAAGATAATGACAAGTATGTGAGTGCTTGGACAGTTTTCTGGAGGTGAGATGGGTCCTTGTTTCAGTAATGCCAATGGGAGCATAGTTCAGAAGTATGCCAGCCAATCAGAAATGAGAAGGATTAGGATTTTTATTACCAGGTTCCAGCCACTTTCTGGGCTGTTCTCCAGCAGGGCATCCTAAATGGCTTATCTGCTTTCTTTCCCTGTTTCCAGTAGGTAAATTCCTTCAGATATCCAAACTACGTAAACCAACAGTGTGCTTACTGTGTGCAGAGGGAGGCAGATATTTCAAATGGTTGCCTGCAAAAAGCCACTCTCGGATAGCCAAAACACAGCATGTTGTTACTCATAGCATAATAAATAGTTCATCCAGGCTACATTGTGTGTCCCTTGGAGACTGACATTGTCTCACTGAATTCAAATGACTCCAGGAAGGAAGAACTTTTCATTTTATAGTTAAAAAAAAAAAGCCCAAAGAAATCAAGCAAGATGCCCAAACTTTACAGAGCTGATGGGGAGCAATTCCTGGGTTAAAAGTCAGTCTGTGATTACAGAGCCCACCCTCTTTACCACAGAACGTGATCCCCCTACCTCTGTAATCAAATGGAATACATTGGAGCCCTGAGTTCCTATTTGATCTTGAGATACAATGAATGCTTTATTAAGCCTTTGACTTTGGGTGACCCACTGTGCTGCCTTACATCAGTGGGGGACATTTTCACTGTGAGTTCTACACAGAGCCCAGACTGACTTCAAATTCAGGTAGGTATACATGTATCCTATATATGGGCACAGAACTTTCTCTCACCTTCCAGTTGTTGGTGAGTGCTAGGAATTAACCCCAATGCCTCAGGCATGCTATAATGATCAAGTTAACTTGATTAAGAAATACCTTAGTATCTCAGTATTACGTGAAGTATATATCAGGGTGCATCTATGATGTCATTTCCCAACATAATCCAACCATGAGAGTTTTGACCTGGTCCTTCCATGGATTCACAGTACAATGGTATTCTAGAAGGTTGTAGAAAGAATCTTGCCCTGGTCCTTTCCTGTCTCTTGTCCATGCTTCTGCCACCACAATTTTCTGCTGAAGCATTTGAGACTAAGTGACCACAGATGAAACCCTCCAAAACCACAAATCAAATCAGGTATGTTTCATAACAACAATAAAAGTATATTTGATATATATGGTATTTTTTACTGCGTACATGCTTCTCTCCATTGAGCTACACACCCAGCACTTTCTAACATAGATCTGGCTGGCGTACGGGAGGGAAGCCTGGTTACACCTCACACCTGTTCTTACTGGATCGACAGGCTACGAATGGCTTTCATTATTCTTCACTGGGTGAAGATAGAAGGAAAAAAAAATCAACATCTCATAGTATAAAAACTTTTATCTCATGACCTGAGCTATGCTAGGGCATAGCTCAGCAGTGGAGCCTGGGGTTGATCCCAGAACTACAAAAGAAAAAGAAATCCACTTTTAAAAAACTGCCATTGGTCTATCACCGTATGTATGTATCGCCTATGATTGCCTTTGGAACTGGCTGTGATGGCGTAACAGAATAGCTGGGTGGTTGTGAGGGAGACTTTACAACCCAACAAGCCCGTAAATAAAAAGGTTGCTGCCCTAAGTGACAAACTCAGAACACCTCATTTCAGTGGTGGTAGCCCCTCCCTGGGTGGTGAAGAAGCAGGGTGCTTAGGCATGCCTGAGAGGTGGGTCAGGACAGATAAGATCTGGCCACCAGCGGCCTCCATCCTTCCTGACAGGAAGTCACGTGGTCTGGCAAGGTTGACTGTTCCTGGAGCCTCTGTGAGCCTCTGGGAAAGTCCCTGCCAGGTGGCCTCCTGCCAGGGTTTGGGGCTTAGGCAGCACTGCCATTGAGGCTCGCACCGCTCCCCCCCCCCCACACCCCCTCTATCATGTGCTCACTTTCAGGTCTGGACTAAACCCTTAATGTGCAGAAGTCTCCAGACCTGGAAATGTTTTCTTATATAATACAAGTGTGTCTTCTCTGCCTCCAAAGGGGATGGGCAGGGAAGGGTGTGTCCAAAGCACAAGTGAGCTATTACCTGACCACACTGTGTCTGATCTTTCTTTAGAACTTTTCATTTTGTTTCCTGTTTTTAGGGCTTCTCTGTGGAACATTCTTAGCTGTCCTGGAATGCCTTTTATAGACCAGCCTGGCCTTGAACTCAGAGATCCGTCTGCCTCTGCCTCCCAAATGCTGGGATTAAAGGCTGGCCCCACCACTGCCCAGCCTTCTTTCCTGTTTTTGAGAGTCTTATGTAACCCAGGCTGGCCTCAAAACTGGTTGCTTGGCCAAGGATGACCTTGGCCTTCTGATTTTCTTTCCTTAATCTCTGAGATGCTAGGATTGATTATGAGAGCTCTGGGCTTGCTAGGCACTCTCCAGTTTAGCTACAACCAAGTCCATCTGCACTCCTGATCTTATCCTCCCCTGCCCTCTAGGTCTAAGGACCGAATGCTTGCTAGGTCACTGAGCTACATTCCAACCCTGTCTGGGTAGAAGTTTAAAGGAGAGAATGCCACACATTTTTTTTTAAAGTTCAACTGCCTCACCAACAACACTGACATGTTGAGAGACCTAACGTGTGCAACCTGTAATTCGTCTTCCACCACCGATGCAGAGTGTGCTATGCTCTATGACCACTGGGGTCCAGTGCCTGGGGTCCTCTCACCTATTGTGTATGGAATGCTCCCTTTAATAGAGGGACCCAGAGCCCTCAGAGCTCCATCTTCATTCTGCATGGCTATTTCGGCTCAGGAAGGATTAGGTCTTGAGGAGATGGGGCCCAAAGGATTGGAAAGAAAACAACAGCAGAAATCATGCTCTGGTCCGTCCCAGCTGGGGACGGAGAGCCAAGGACTCTAGACAGGTGGCTCTCTCAGCTGTTGGCTGAGCAAAGCAACTAAAAATACCACGATTTCAATGAGACCATTGCAAGCCACTGCCAACAGGCTCTCCCTTCCCTCCTTTCCCTTTGAGAGCAAGACAATGCAGCCAGCTCCTGAAAATAATTGTTCCTTTCCTGCCTATTTGTAGTCCACCGGCCCCTCCATCCTGTGTAAGCAGAGGCCAGCTCTGAGGGGAAAGAGGAGAAACTAGGGGCAGCTGGCAGTTGATGTGTCCTTGGCTCGTGAGCTCACCGGGTCAGGAGCGGCAGTCATGGACCTATTTTGGCAGAGGTGGAAACTGAGACGCAAGGAGAGGAAATGGCCTTTGTGCCTGTGCGTCTTTCTATATATAGACACAGATACCACATGTCAGTGAGCCTTTGGAAGCATCAGACCCAGGGGGCAGCTGGCTCTGGACAGACTACGGGACACAGGGTGGGGTGGTGAAGGAGCCAAACACTGCAGAGAGGACAGATGGCACAGTGCGGATGGCTTTTAGAATCATGCAGTCACTACTCTCTCTGTCCTTCTGCTACAACCCAAACAAAACAAATCAGGAACCAACAGAACAACCTGTCTTGCCCCGCAGGACCCTGACGCCCAGCTGAAAGGGGTTAGCCATGCAGGTCTCAGCGAAGACACACAAAGGTCAAAACATGGAAGACAGCATGAAAGGCTAAATTGTGAGATTAACCCACCTCAGCATCTTCCTGGGCAAATTTTTTTTTTTTTTGGTTTTACGAGACAGGATTTCTCTATATTGTTTTGGAGGCTGTCTGTCTAGCCTGGCCTCGAACTCACAGAGATCCGCCTGCCTCCGCCTGCCTCTGCCTCCCGAGTGCTGGGATTAAAGGCATGCGCCACCACCGCCCAGCTCCTGGGCAAATTCTTAACTGTCCAGAATGAATGACTTCATTTACGCAGTTCTCTAACCCTTACATTGGATGCTTGTTCGTAGAATTGGGTGAGCTAAATGGTTCACTGCAATGCCTACTATGAGAAAGCCCTTAGCAAAGAGAAGCCCAAAGCACAAGGTCATACCTGGTAGTGGCAATTAGGAAACGAACCTCAGTTATCTACTTGTGGGTCAGAGTGTTAGCCTCTGGATTTTCTTTTGTTTATCATCATTGGTCCTTGTGGGGTGTGTGTGTGTGTGTGTGTGTGTGTGTGTGTGTGTGTGTGTGTGTAGAAAGGAACCAAATCGAGAAATACAGTTTTATAAAATTTTATAAACTTATATTTCTATCAGTCACATTCTAAATAAATCTGAGATAACTTGAAACATGCATGCCTTCACCCTTCATGAGAATTGAGTTAATTGCCTGATAAAGGAGTTGAGGGAAAAGGTCAGTGAATAAGAATAGTCTTGGGAGGGAAACAGGGAGATTATAAATCAGGAAAGAGCAAGTCTACATTCACTCCCACTTAGGAGTTAAGCGTGGATTTTGCACTAATTGTAGCAGAGGAAAAATCAAGCACTATTTTCCATCTAGGTGGAGAAATTCAAGTTTTAAAAGACCTGTTTGGAGGTCAGGCAGTGGTGGCGCACACCTTTAATCCCAACCCTCAGGAGGCAGAGGCAGGGGATCTCTGTGAGTTAGAAGCCAGTCTACAGAGCAAGTGCCAGCGTTGTTACAGAGAAACCCAATGTCGAAAAACCAACAAAACAAAAAGACCTGCTGGGGAAGGTTCTGAAGAGCCCGAAGTAGTCATTGGCTGTGGGAACAATGCTTGTCTCTGGAACTCCCAAGCATCTGCCTCTTAGGCAGAAGCTATCCCCCAGCAGGGAATCACAACATGGTACCAAGACTCCCGTCTCTTAATTTCCTAAATTGATTCGAGTAGACCCTAGCCCATGTCTCCCTGGGTAGTGTGTGTGCCAGGGAAGGGGGCAGTTGTCACAAAGACTGCAAGAATTATGAACATGTTCTATTGGCCAGAGATGTCCTACTCTCTCCAATGTACAGGGCAGACCCATGGATGGGATTGAGACCCAGAAGCACCAACAGAGCACCCCACTAGAACAACTCTGCTTTGGTTTCTGCTCTAAGCACCAAGCATGCCCAACACTTCCCCCATGTGCATGTGTGTACTCACATTCCTGTGTGGATAAGCACACATGTGTGTATGTAGAGACTGACATACGGGTATATGTAGGAGACTGACACTGGCAGTCTTCCTCAGTGGCTCTCTACCTTATTGACTGAGACAGCTTCTTTCCATTGAACTCAGAGCTCCTTGAGATAGCCAGCTTGCTCTAGGGATCCCGTGTCCATATTCCAGGACTAGAATTACCTCGGGCTGCCATGCTCACCCAGCATTAACATGAGTTCTGGTATTCAAATTCCACTCCTGATACAGGCACTTGAACCACTGAACCATCTCCCCAGTTTTTTAGTAGACAACAAGCTCCTATGTCTTTCACCATGAGGAGAAATAGTTTCTGGAGCTTAGCTACCCCTGCCAAGCTCAAGCCCTTCCCTTGATCCCTAAGCAACTAAGAGTAAGTGTCATTTTTCCTTTCCACTCTCAAAAATAAAAAGAAAACTTACAAGACAGAATAAACAAGGACCTTTCTAGCATGAGCTTGCCAACATCAGCATTGGGAGAACTGGCAACTAATCTCACAGGTGAACAAGTGAACTGATACCTACCTACCTATGTCTCCCTGTCTGTGGGTGGGAAGCAGGTTAAGAGTGCTGGATTTATCACTCAGCTAACAGTCATTCTAGACAGCCCTCGAATAACTGACCAAGAGGTGGAATGCAGTCCAACCCTTGGTGACCTTATGTCTGGGATAACTTGATGAGCTGATATAAATGCAAACACTAGACCTCAAGGGTCCAGAGAAGGGTGGGCTAATGTACATCCTCCATAGAGGCTCCGGAATAAGGCTCTGATGTGTGTGCGTGTGTGTTCACTCGTGTGCATGCCTTGCTCTATATCCTCCATGCACTTGTCTCCCTCCTCCTTCATTTCCCTCCCCAGATCAGTCATCCGGCAACCAACCTGATGAAGTAGCAGCAGAAGATGAGGCTGAGCATGAAGACAAAGATGCCTGTACCGAAGATGACCATGTAGATGTTGAGGGGAAGGTCTTGGAAACTGATAGGTGGCATTGAGCAGGACTTGTTGGTACTAACCAGTCCCAGGCCACAGAAACACCCTGCAAAGCAAGAGGCAAATAATACTGAAGTTAGACACTTTTACCACTGAGGCCTGGCACATTGCGTTAGCAGGGATGTCAGGTTCTAGCTGAAGAATATTATTTCCCAGCACTAACTACTAACTACATGGTCCTGAGTAAATTACTGAGTCAATCTGTGAAATGGAATGTTGAGCAAAGCACTTAAATGGATTAAGAATTTAGAAGCCTGAAGTGGTGGCGCATGCCTTTAGTCCTAGCACTCCCTAGCAGCAGAAGCAGATGGATGTCTGAGTTCAAGGCCAGCCTGTTCTACAGATCGAGGATCCAAGACAGCCAGGGCTATGCAGAGAAACTGTCCTAATAAGCCAAACAAAGAATTCAGGCAAGGAAGGACAGAAAGTAGAAAAAGAAAACAAAAACAAAACTGCCTCCAAGTAGGAGATGCTCATCGAGCACACAGCAAAAAGAAGAGTCTTAGGTGAGAAAATATATTGTTTGAGTCCTGACCCATGCCTCCTAAGCAACCTATGTGACATTCAATGAGTAATTACTATAGAATTAATCTCATCATAGGAAAACTAGCAAATAGAGGGTTAGGGTAGAAATGACGGCTTGAGAAATAGTAAGCTGGAAAGAGCAATGGCAAAGGTCATTTTGTCACTAAAAACCACCTGTTCAGAAACCAGACAAGAAATTGTTCACAAGAAGTCCAGGCCAGCATTCCAGAAGGTGCTGATGAGAACTGGTGTCAGGGACTATCATTTTCATTGAGTGGTTACCTTTCTATTCACAGCTGCAAGGTCCCACCCTTGAACACATCCCCTACAAACTTGTTAGAAATGTGCAGTCCCTTCAGAAAGGGAGAATTGATGGGCAAAGGAGTTAAGACTGGGCTGGTTTAACCCACAGAAACAGTTGACCTGAACAAGGGGGAGCTCTTGGACCCCATATTGATGGCTGTGTGGAAAGCATGGGACTGACCCAGACCCCCCTGAATGTGGGTATCAGTGAGGAGGCCTAGGTAATCTATGGGACCTTGGGTAGTATTTATCTCTGGCGTACAAATAGATTTTGAGTGCCCATGCCACAATGTGGGATGCTCTCTCAGCCTGGACTCTTGGGGGAGGGCCTAGACCCTACCCTGGATGACATGACAGACTCTGGAGATCCACCATGGAGGGCCTCACCCTCCCTGGGGATTGGAGTGGAGATTGGGGAGGGGTCTGGTGGGGAGGGATGGGGAAGAGGGGAGGGAGAGGGAGCTGTGAAACAAGCTTGTTTCTAACTTAAATTTTAAAAAAAGGAAGAAAAAAAAAGAAATGTGCAGTCTTAGGTCTATACTCACTCCATGAACTGGATTCATGATCCCAATGATCTAAGAAGGGTCTAGGCAGCTGGAACAAGGGAATGATGAGTTCCAGGCTAGCCTGAGCAATGCAGTGATACCCCTGCCCAGCCCCCAATCCACCACAAACAAAGAACCACATTCCTTTAAGGAAATATTTTCTTCTTATATCACCTCAGACATACAGGAAGGTATATCACCTCAGACATTACAGCTGGAAAGAGAAGAGCCAAAAGCATTGAAGGGTGATGTCCCTGATTAACCAGAACCTGTGTCCTACATTCCAAACACATTCTACCCTCCTCGCCTTTTTACTTTCCCAAGACCTGCCAGACCTCAGGGGCTAGGCTCTCTCCTGGCTTTCTGGTTAGGAGCCAGGATTCCACCTGGTAATTACCACGACTGAGTGCTACCACAACTCTGCAAGTAGACCAGTTCCAGAGGCTGCCATCAATTGTGACACTGTGCTATGGTCTGCACTTGAGGCATCCCTCAGCGGGCTTAGATGCTGACCCTTCTTCCTCTCTGCTTCTTGAACCCCATGAGGTAAAGCTACTTCTTTCCCACTTGATAGACTTAAACCTCAAAAAGTCAGGAGCTAAAATGCTCTAAGTCATGTATGATTATGAATCTGAAACAGTGATGACATGACTAAGCGTCACACATGGTACCCGTCATTCCTCTGTGTCTTATCAGTAGATGACCTAAGCCTTCACCCAAAAGTCTAACACCACGCCCCACCCTACTGCCACATCTCTATTTTACACACCTTCTTCTGTCTTATCCATGTCACCACTGTTTCTAGTTTCTCCGTGTCTGGCAGTATCCTCCAACTCCACTTACCATGTCAGTTCCACACTCTTGTCTGGTTTCTAGTCCAGAGGAACATGCAGCCCACCGCCTTGCAATAGCCTGTGAGCTTTCTCCACTTGGGCCAGTCTTATTTTATCTTGCCCACCTATGTCCCTGTCTGTCTCCACACCTTCGTCTATGTCACCTTCTCTGTCTAGAATTCTTTCCTTTCCGAAGTCTAGTCTTGGTCTTTGTGATAATTTTCCTTTCCGATGCCAGGGTTGTGGGCTGAACTAGTACCTTGCATAGGCTAGGCAGAGATCTGCTACTGTGCTGAATCCTCAGCCCCTGCATGGTCTTTAGGCTAGTCCAGGGACCTCTCAGGAACTCTACAATGCTTGAGACTTGCATCGCTTGCCATGGTTTTTGCTCCAAACATCTTCTGTTACCCTGATGTTGCTAGCATAAACTTAATTTGGTTCCCGTTGCACTCTGCATCGATCATACGATAATAACGATAGTTGAGATGAAGAATAAAAGGAGCATACCAGCAATGGCTGGATGGCTTTCCATGTAGGAAAGAGACAGACTCAAGCACTTGACAAAGTGAGATGTGGCAGTGGAGGTCAGTCTACAATTCTGGGAGTAAGTGTAGTCATCCCAACAAGCCTGAACTTTGCTCAGCCTGGGAATACCAACTTGGACTCCCAAACACTCTGTAGTGCCCTGAGAGCTAGTGCTTGGTCTGTCTACATAGCTAGTTAACAGACAGCTCCTTGCTTTCTCAAAACAACCTAGTCTCCTTGGCAAAAGCTCCTACTTCAAAGTGGGAAGACTGATGTTTGGGAAAACTGCCCAGAAACTGCCCTCAGCTAATAAATCACCAGTCCACCAACAGGTTTTGTTCTGGGTGTGCTTTATACAGTGACCTAGACCTTATGGGGAAACAAAAAGCGAAAGAAGCTCTTGTTCGGAAGGCATTTTCAATTAGGGGCAATTGAAGAAGCAATTAGCTACTAAAGTTTGCTTTGCTCAATAGAATGTTTCTTGCTTCTAGGTTCCACTGGAGGGTTAGAAAGAATACTGTTTTCATCACTGGTTCCCGCTTGAGGGTTTGCTTTCTGCGGGCCTTTCACAGAGCAACTCTCTACTAAGATATCATGCTAGACCTGCCCCAGCATCCTCCATTCTGCACCAGAAAAGGCCAGACAATTGCATCTTCAGGATCAACAGGACCATCTACTGCCAATAGCCTCCTTCACCCTGCCACAGAAATATCCGATGCTGTAAGAGGGCCAGCATTCTCTCCACAGTTACTATGGCTCTTCTACGAACCTTACATAAGCAGGATCCTGTATCTACTGGGTCCCAAAGAACCTCACATTTCTACTCTGAAAAACTAGAACTGTGTTTAGAGGGTATACGCTTGCACCCTGCAGGAACTTTGGTTCCAGCAGTCCCAGATCAGTTTATCTCCATCTTTTCCCATCTCCTAAAAGGCTTTCCCTGGGGCTCTAGGACTGAATCAATGAACTTGGGACTTTATGGGGCCTATAAGGAGTCAGCTTCAAGAGTAGATGTTCAGCCTCTGTTGTGTAATAGTTTCCTCTGAGATTCAAAGATTTCATTCTGCAGGAAGCTCCTTAAGCAGGAGGGTAAACTCAAATAGCTTCAGGAAGTCCCTGAAGTGGACCAGATTCACCAGGCTCCTCTCTGTCAGAGGAAACAACAAAAGCTGAGAATCTGAACTCAGATGTGAAAAAGCTATAAAGAAGACCCTTAAAACCAGATTCAGTCACTTGAAAAGGACACTCTCAATCTGCTGACCTGCTTGCTTTCTGTGTAGTATGTTCCAGGTTCCCAGCTTTTGTGAGCAATCGCCCACATTGGGATGGGCTTTGGTGATAGAACTCTCTCGGAGTCATTTCTGCCCCTGTGAGTAGTAACCCCTCAGCCATACTCCTGTAAGTAATCCCAATAAAACTCATTGGTTCACCCAGGTTGAACTTCAGTGGTATCCATACTTTGGTCATTCCTGGGGTGAGTAGACATGTGAGTTGCATCTCCCCAGGAAAAAGCTTTGCCACACAACAGCCTGCTGTCACAGTAGCTCATGTGTGTGACCCCAGCACTCTGAGGAGCTCAGGCAGAATGATTGAGTTTTCCTGAGGCCAGCATAGGTGACAGTGAAAACCCATCTCATAAAACAAAGCTTCTATTACAGTGTGAATGAGTTTCATTCATTCTACACGTTGGAGAACAGAACTGGTTTTGGATTTGAAATGTTATTATTTTAGAATGTTTGTACATAGTGTGATATCTCTAGGATAGAGCTCAAGTCTAAACACGAAACTCACCCTATGTTTTCAGATTGGGAATGTTCAACTTGTACTCTTGAAGAGAAATGGAAAAAAATAGTGATCTAAATTGGACAATAGAGTTTTTCCTTAAAACTTATAGGTCAAAGAATACCCAACCCAGATATGGGGTCTCTAAGGAAATTTTCAAGGGGGCAGACATGGGGTTGCATCCCCTCTGGAATCAAGAGACAGGATCTGCCAATCACTTTATCTATCATCTATCTATCTATCTATCTATCTATCTATCTATCTATCTATTTTTGGTTTTCTGAGACTGGGTTTCTCTGTAGCTTTGGAGCCTATCGTGGAACTCACATTGATGCACCTGCCTCTGCCTCCCAAGTGCTGGGATTAAAGAAATGCACTACCACAGCCTAGCCCAATCACTTTGAAAAGTGCAATATAAACCGGATGGTGACAGAGACAGGTGGATCTCTGTAAGTTTGAGGCCAGCCTGGTCTACAAAACTACACAGAGAAACCCTGTCTCTAAAACAAAACAAAACAAACAAAAAAAAAGAGTGCAAGATGAAGAAAGTTTGCAGCGCTGGTCAGTGATGGAGTATGTGTAGCATGAGCAAGGCCTGGGTTCCATCACCGCGGGGGTGGGGCAGAAGCAGGGAAAGACAAAACACTTCCCAAAGGGAGCTGCCAGAAAAAGGTCGGGGTTACTGACAGCTTAGTCCTCCCTAAGTCTCTGGTCCATTGTCTTCGACTTGACACCAGAATGCCTCATCTCAGCTGGCAGGCTGCAAGCAGGAATGACGTCAGGGCAGGTCTGGCCAAGACCAGCGGATCTGGGAACTGCTTCTTTCCAGCCAAGGGAATCTTTCCCAGATGCTGGGATACACCGTCAGGCCTCAGCCCCCATCCCCCGCCCCTCTCCATAACCCGCCTATCACACACAGCTTGGTTCATTTTCAGGAAATTAGATCCGACTAGCAAAAGGAGGAAGGAGGGGGGATGGGGGCCACTCATACACATGCGGCCCAAACCCTGCCTTAAAACAAAAGACTCTTGAAATAATTAATCCAAGATCTGGCAGAAGCCTACTAAGTAACCAGTCAGCCATACCAATAAATAAATAAATATATAAAATAAAAGCGCCAGATGCTTTCCACCTCTCCCAACTCTTCAAGCTTAAAAAAAGTGGCCAAGATTCTGGGGACCCTTTGGGGGAGGGGTGAGTGGTATTAACATCTAAAGCTTAAGTGGCGGGCTCAGAAAGATCCGTCAGGTAGCTTAAACGGGAAATCCAGATCCGCTCCTTATCCATAACACCTGAGCCACCCAAAAAGCCTCAGGTGAACTAACTTAGTTAGCACCATTACCCCGTAGGGCATGGATAGGGGTTGGTGGCCAGTGGCTGTGTCTGGATGCAGTGTCACCACCTCGGCTGAAAGCAGACCCTATGGCCAGGCCTCCTCGCCAGAATGCAAAGCTCTTGCCAGGCCAGCCCTGAGCTGGGAGCCCAGCAGTCTGCAAGACTTTATCTGTTCAGTATTGGCGCTCATTAATCCAGAATCTTGCCCCTGGAAGCCGCTGGGAACCAACAAAGATGAGGAAAGTCACCCCGTGCTCTGTCCCACACATTGCACTGTACACGTATTTAAAAGAGCCTGCAAAGTTTCAGAACCGGAACTTGAGCTCCCTCTAGGAGGAGATCCTTGCCGGAGCGCGGATTTAATTCTCTAACCACCACAACAAAGAACAGAGTTTGAGAGCGCACAAAGGCAGGCGAAAAGGGTAGAAGAGCCGGACCACCACACAAAGGCCAGGAAGCCCTCGGCTCACATGCCCCTGGTCCTCCACTCGCTTCTAGACCCTTTTCATCCCCAAACACTGAGATGGGTCGTTTCAAACTGCACGTTGTGCAGAGCACCGCAGGGCGCCAGGACGCCTTCTGGGCCATCCCAGAGACGGGGAAACTTGGCTCAGGACCTGGACCGGAGTGGTGTCCACTCACCTGCCCGTCCCGGAACTCACCGTTACACCACTGGAATGGGTGCATCAATGAAGTCAAGGTCAGCTTCCCGGAGCGAAAGGAGACAGGGTGCTGAGACCTGGTGGGGTTGTGCACGGCGGTCGCCGAGCTGGAGATGCAACTCCTGGAGGAGTCAAGGGCTGCGGAGAGGCCGGTTTGCAGAGCAACAAAGAGGGCAGAGGAGGAAACAAACAAAGTCTTTCGGAGCGGAGCTCTGCGGAGGGGAATCGCGGAGGGCCCGGGCCGAGACTGCAGCGGAGTGGGCCGGGACGCCCGGCCGAGGAGGCAGCAGCCGGGGCACGAAGCCGGGCTGGGGTCCCACCGCGCCGAAGAGTGCGCGCTGGGATTCCGAAAACTGACACGGAGAGGCGCACACCCCCCTCCCTATGACTGCCCCCTCCTGGGAGCCCGCCCCCTGCTCGTCACCTGCCCTCCAGCCAATGGGAGCCTTTTTCCTGCCCCCGGGTATTATTTACAGGCGGGTCCCCACTCTGGAAAGGGGAGTTTTTTCGCTGGGTAGTCTCCTACCCCGCCTCCTAGCCAGAGCAGGGGAGTCCCGGGTTTTCAGGGGCGACGCCCGCAGGGGGCGGAGACCGCCACCTCCCAGGACGCGGGCGGGGGACGGGGTAGGGAGGTGGGGGATAGAGTAGGGGAAGGACCAGACGATTAGTGCCACTTTTGTTTTCCGCCTACAGATCCCTGCCTGTCTGGAATTTCTATAGCTCTGTAGCAGCCAGCCCTGGAGGGTTGTGCGTGGCAGTTAGAATATTCCCAGATCCACCGCCAAAGGAGGGACCTGAGACCAGAAGGCAAAGCAGATGAAACTCAAAACTCGAATCTTCAAAAGGGCTATTGTTCTCACCTCACTTCGGGACAGCGCCTTCTTTTACAACAAGGATTTGAGGCCTAAAGCTGAGAGACCATCACTTGCCAGGGTTACAGTTCCCCAGATTGTGGCTTTGTCATTGCGGGGTCTTGTGTGGGTGTGGAATGAACAGCTCACGAAGGAAAGACAATCTGAGTTCTCTGTGCAGTATTATTTATTTTGCATGACTTTCCACTGTTCATTTCATATTTTTTTCTATTTATTGATCTATCTATCTATCTATCTTGGTTTTTCGAGACAGCGTTTCTTTGTAGCTTTTGGAGCTTGTCCTGGAATTTGCTCTGTAAACCAGTCTGGTCTCGAACTTCACAGAGATCTCCCTACCTCTGCCTCCCGAATGCTGGGACTAAAGGTGTGCACCATCACTGCCCGGCTTCATGTTTTATTTTTTAAACAGAAATTTATTTAGTCCTCACTGGTCTCCAAACGTAGAGAGATCTGCCCTCCTCTGCTTCCTGATTGCTGGGATTACAGGCATACGCTACCACACCCAACTGGTTTATTTCTGTTTTTGTCTATCGTTCCACTTAAAGTATTACCATCAGGTGTACAGTATCGCTCAGAGTACCTTGGTACAGGAGCCTCATCCAGGGTCAGAAGTGTGTGAGGAGACAGACCCACAACTAAGCAAACAAAACGTCCTGTTTCGTGTTCCCCACACTTTTCTACCCCACTATTGATCTGTCCACTGGAATGGAGTACTTCCCTAACTCTGGGGAGTTCCTGGCACCTAAGTAAGCTAATGCATGTGAGTGCTTTGCCATTTCAAAGTATAGTCGTTAAACTATCAAATGTCCTGCTCAGCCCCACGGAGCTGCTGGAACCAAGGCTATCTTCCAGTCTCTGGGGATGGTCAGATGATCTCCAAATTCAAAAGGCCCTTGTGGGCAGTGACATGATGTTTGAAAGTGAGCTATATATCCCTTAATATTAAACTGTCTTTCCCTCCTAATATTTGCATAATTTGACAATGTAGAGGGCTCACAGTAGTTTATCAGTTGCTTCCTTAACAATTCTGTTCTTTCAGGGTTAGGCCGAGGTGTGGTGTCACGGGCAGAACTAACTGCTTTCTCTGTTTATTTATTTATTTAACTTTATTTTCTGTGCATTGATGTGAAGGTGTCAGGTCCCCTGGAACTGGAGTTACAGACAGTTTCAAGCTGCCATGTGGGTGATGGGAGTTGAACTCTGGTCCTCTGGAAGAGCAGTCAGTGCTCTTAACCACTGAGCCATCTCTCCAGCCCTTGTTTGTTTTGTTTTGTTTTTTTTTTGAGACAGGGTTTTAATGATGTAGCTTTGGATGATCTGGAACTTACACTATATGACTAGACAGACCTGGAAATAAAAGAGAGTTCCCTGCATCAGCCTCTTTCGTGCTGGGATTAAAATGTCAGGAATGACACACTTCCTCTGGATTCTTTTTCTTTTTTGGTCTTTTTAAGACAGGGTTTCTCTGTGTAACTTTGGAGCCTGTTCTGAAACTCACTCTGTAGACCAAGCTGGCCTTGAACTCACAGAGATCTGCCTGCCTCTGCTTCCTGAGTACAGGGATTAAAGGCGTGCACCACCACCACCTGTCTCCTCTGAATTCTTAATGAGATCAGTGCAAAGATTCTCTAATGGCCTCTCCCATCATCCTCTTTGCCTCTGACTTCAGAGTCACGCTAATGGCAGACATGTGCATCTACTGACACCCAAACTTGAGCCCAGAGATTCTGTTTTAAAATCCTGCTCCAGAAGTCCTTCTGACAGGCCTTGTTTCCTGTGTCAATCCTGCAGTTGTTGAGGGAAATGGTACTCGGATTTGATAGCGACCCAGTTATTTTTCTAACGAGTGCATCTGATCATTTCCTTTGCTTAATAGCTTCTGCCGGTTTCTGGGGCTTACAGGTTTGTGCGGCGTCCTCAGTTTTTCTTGTACAAAATCTCTCTCTCTCTCTCTCTCTCTCTCTCTCTCTCTCTCTCTCTCTCTCTCTCTCTCTCTCTCTCTCTCTGTCTCTCTCTCTCTCTGTCTCTGCCTCTCTCTCTCTGATTGTTAGGTGCTGTACATGCCACTGCTTGAGCTTTGAAACCAGAGGGCAACTTGTGGAAGTCACTTTTCTCCTTCTACCATTTGAGTTCCGGGGCTCAAATTCAGTTTGTGAGGCTTGGCAGCAAGCACCCCAAACCACTGAGTCATCTCAATGCCTTCTTTTTGAACTGATTTATTTTTTTCTTAGTGTGTGTGTGTGTGTGTGTGTGTGTGTGTGAAGGCGACATAAACCCGGGTTGGCCTCCAATTGTCTTTCTGCCACACCCTCCAGCTGTTGTGGAACTTGCGATGTAAACCAGGATGGCCCTTAACTCACAGAGATTCACCTGTCTCTGTCTCCTGGTTGATATTAAAAGCGGGCACCACTGTGTCTGTATAGATTAAGCAGTTGTAAGAATACACCTACCATTAGGGTTGGGGATATTGGTGATAGAGGTTTTGCATGTATTGAACCAGGAAATAAATGGGAATTTTCTGACGCTTCTCATCCATGTTGCTGTGACCTAAAACAGCAAAGAAAAAAACCTTAACTCTGATTGAAAATCAAATTCCAATTACGCACAACATTAACTAGATAGAATGCAATTTTTACACATTGGTTCCAGTCAGGTGTGATGGGTGATCCTGCTTTCCTTAGGGATGTCAGCTAGGTGCCCCCAGCACAAAGAGGAAGAGCCCTTTGAAGGGGAAAGTGACAGGAAGGGAGAAGTCCCTTCCCTACCAGTTCCCCTTCAGGCCAAAAGGAGCCTAGTTGGGAAAACACCTAGAAGACAGAGCCAACTCGGTGCTTATGCAGACAGCTCTCGAATAGCTGAGCAGTGAATATCCTGGGTCATACTCACAGGAACCTTGCTACAGTGGGCACCACGTGATCTATAATTTATACTTTTATGCATGCCATTTCATGCTTCCAGTAAATTCTCCGGAGTCAAATTACCACTCTTGTCCCTCCTGACACTGAGGCTGCAGTTCGGTGCTGCAGATGATGGCTGGTCATGGGCACAGCAGATAGGAAAAGCTATGGCCTTGGGCATTTTAATAATTTGGCTCATCAGAAATCAATCCATATTATTATAGCCAACTGGTTTCAGATAAAAGTGCCAAGAATAGTGGAGAAAAGACAGTGAACAAACAGTGTCAGGGAAACTGCTTGTGCATAGGAATGAAAGTACATCTCTCTGTGTCATCAAATACCCAAGCCAACGCAAAACGATTCAAAGATGTAGATATTAAGCCCGAAATCCAAAACAGGTGAGTTGGCTCACACTTTAATCCTAGCACCATCTGGGAGGTGGAGGTAGGGAAAATGCTGTCAGGTCAGCCTGGGCTACTGGGTGGAACCCCTGTCGCAAAACCAAACAAAACCAAAATAACAAAACAAAAACCCACAACACAGCAAAATGAAAGTCCCCAAAGGCACCGGCCACGAGAGCAAAAAACACATCCATGGATTTTATCAAATGAAGGTTTGGTGTAGGAAAGGAATCAATAGATTCAAAAGACAGATCCAGTGTAGTGGCACATGCCTTTAATCCTAGCACTCAGGAGGCAGAGGCAGGCAGATCTCTAAATTCAAGGTCAACCTGGAGGACACCCAGGGTTGTCCAGAGAAACCCTGTCTTGAAAAAACAACCAACCAAACAAAAAGATCAAACTCTCACTCTGGCTTTTGGGTCATTTGCACTGAGGGAAGTCATTGCCATGCCATGAAGACGCTTACCTGAGGCTGCTCTTCCAGAGGTCCTGAGTTCAATTCCCAGCAACCACATCGTGGCTGCAAACACCTATAATGAGATCTGGTGCCCTATTCTGGCATGCAGGCATACACTCAGATAAAGCATGTAAATATATAAATAAATAAATCCTAAAAAAAAAAAAGGACCCGTGGAGAAGCCACACAATGAGGAGCTAGATCTTGCTCTGAGGCCACAGCCTGAGCGTGGGCTTGAGAGTAGATGTTGATGACTATTAAGGTGACCACAATGCTGGCTGCCACTTCCTGAGAGATCCTGAGGCAGACTGAAGAGACATGTTATGCAGAATGACCCACGGAAATCACGAAACAATAACTTGGGGTTTAATTCTTCATTTACTTATTTTTGAGACGGGGTCTTACAATGCAGTCACAGCCTCAACCTTACAAAGCTTTTCCTGCACCTGCTTCCTGAGTATTGGGATCTGTTTCTCCAGGCTGTGCCCTCAGCCATTTCCCTCTTTCTTGCAATAGATGGCTTTTGTTAGTTTGTTGTACTAGATCCTTGCTAGTCATGTGTCCTGTGAGTCAGCCCAAGGGAAAGGAACCCAAGAGGGCAGGGACAGCCATTTCCTTCTAAGAAACAGAGCCCTACTTCCATTCTCCTTCTGCTGGGTGGAACTTTGTTCCATGGCTACACTTCTCTGCAAGAGCACACAGAACATAAACTGCAGCTGGGCAATGACGTATGTGTCTTA